AATTTTGTATGGGATGCTGTGGAGCTATTTTGCAATATTCCATGAAAACGACCATATAACAAGAAAGCCTTCCTCACAAAAGAGGTTTGTTTCAAAATTCAAGAGTTTTTGAGCTTTCCAAGCCCCTCAAACGCTACTTTCTATTTCATAGCAAATTGCCTTTCCACCAGGGTGCACAGTTCAATAAACTCACAATTTTAACACTGAAGCACTATGATGGACTGATGTTAATGTTCACCGCTTTCCAGGTAGATGGGCTCAACCTTTGAGGAGCAGTGCACAAAAGTATAAGACATAACATTTCCTGTTCCCTAGGTGGCGCTTTGACGATTCCTGACAATGGGCATATCAATCTCTTCTGTGCGGGAGTGTTATCATGCCTGTGAAGTTTGGTAGTGATCGGACTGGATTTCTTTTAGTTACAGCAATTTGTGGCCACTTATTGAAATTCGCCGTCGGGACCGCGCTTTGTGTTAACATCTCTGTGTGGAATCCGTATACATGCTCGCATTTGCTTTTTTAGCTGTTTGGCGGTTGTTGAAATAGTTTTGTAAGCTTTAACCTGAGATTCTGGTGTTTCTGGCAAAATACATTTATAAAAAAATCAATTCAGGATTTAATGATTCGATATCGCTTTATTCAAGCTAAAATCGATCTGAATCGGAAAATCTCCGGGCTAAACTCGGCTAACTTTGTTATAGCGGTAGTTTAGTGCTCTTCATTATGGGGCGCCGTTTGTAAACTGAAACATGCTGGAATTAACAGCAACACTTTTCCACTTTTAGCTCAAAACCTTACAAAAACATGTTTTTTCGAGTCATTTTTTACAACATTTACTAAAATATTTGTAGCTTTTTATGTTTAAAACACAATTTTAAATGTTAACTTTAACCTGCTTACGGTGGAGTCTGACAACTCTCGAAGAGCAGTGCACAGTCTGGACAGTGGGAAGTTCCTAAGCATACTGCACAGCATCTTTGGGCTGATTGATGACAGGATCACAGGTAGAGGTATTCAGTTTACAGTTACTTATATTTATTTATAGTAAAATGTCAATAAAATGGTGGCAAGTAAACTAAATCTCCAAATCATCACTATCACCCTGTAAATACTCTCCAATTTGGCACAACCCGGAATTCTTATTATACAATAGCCCTGTCCACTTTCCAATATGGGAGCACAAAGGAATCACTCACCTCCACCAGCTCTTTCAAAATGATTAAATTATATCCTTCAGTACGTTTGTCCAGGAGTACAGAGTTGGGAATGAACAATTTCTTCAATACGAACAATTAAAATCTATAATTAAATCCAAGACATGTTGTGAGTGTAACTGTCTGTCATTCAGTCTTTACTACATTTGACAAAGACAAAGACGGCGTTGTCGGCATGGAAGAGTGGATTGAGGGGACTGCCTGTTTTTCTTCGGGGCACCTTGGATGAAAAAATGAAATGTAATTCCTCAATCTTACTTTTTTTGCTTAGGCTCACTCTCACACCTTCACACATGTAGCTTATCTGCCTAAAACAAATTCCTATGTTTGGCATGGCTCAGATTGCGTCAGTATGTACGGCTTGAATGGTGACAATGCCATCTCTAGAGAGGAGATGCTCGATTTTCTGCAGGAGAGGCTCATCAGATGGCCCAATGAGGACCCTGACGAAGGAATCAAAGACCTGGTGGAGATCATACTGAAAAAGATGGTGAGCTGTTTGCTGCACAGATAAAACTGTTTTCACGTGGTTTTCCAAAAAATAAAACTATTTTAAAAATTCTCAGGTCTGTAAATAATTTACCAGCTCTGCCAATGGTGCTTCCTCCCACAGGACTATGATCTTGATGCCAATGTGTCTTTTAAATATTTTGAAAAGGTTGTGAAAGATGAGAACCTATTGCTGGAATCTTTTGGACACTGCCTTCCTGATTTCAGGGTAATCTTTAATGAGAAGTTGCTAAGCTCTTTAAATTTCAGAAATTCAGAAATTCTCAATCTGACAGTTTGCTTTTCTTATTTTTTCAGAGAGTCGAGATGTTTGAGGGAAGTGTATTTCAGGAACAAATGGAAGAATAAAGAAATCACATACCTGCATACTCAGCCTAAACATCCCTAATATTGACCTCAATGTTCAGTGCTGTGATGTAAAATTTGTTAAATAAAAAAAATGGATAGTTCTGGTAGTTTTGGCCCAATCAAAAGCTCATTATGACCAGAAACAGTAATGGAGGGCTCCTCAGCCTCTTCCATTTTGCCTTTAGGGTTCTCCCAAGTGTGTGGTCCAATGGAGAAATCTGACTGCAGTGGTCTGATGTGCTGCTTGTCTCTTTTTGAGAAGGTCTATTTGCACCTTGAATCCCCTTCTTGCAGTGTCAGCACAGGTATTGTGTAAAGTCCCTATTTTATCCTCTGTCAGTAAAACCCTATGTTGATTTTTAGGTCCATAGTAATGATGTTCTTGGGGGGGGTAATAGCAGAAGAGTAAAGTCTAAATAGCAGCTGATGTTTGAAGTCTCCATTGTATTGTCCTTTCCAGAGGTTTGTTTGCGTGTGAGGTTGTTGTCGTCTGACGTGGTAGTTTTTTCAGATGAAGAAGGCTCCTCTTGTCCTCTTTCTGTGTACAAATCAACATCATTTAAAAAGATCCTAGTCAAATTAAAAGAAAAGTGCCAAAGGGAAATTGTGGAAATGTACAAAGAAACAATGAAAAGATGTAAAGTGACTAGTTGTGTGTGTGTGTGTGTGTGTGTGTGTGTGTGTGTGTGTGTGTGTGT